TCGTGGAATCGTGTGCCGTCATTATTTTCAGGTACTTTTAGTATCAAAAGTTGCTGGCTTTCATATCAGAATGATAGCATCACATTGGTATTGTGACAATAAAAAAGAAACAATGAATCAATCAAAAGTGATTTTTATAAATGAGTACACTATCCAAATTCAACAAAATCAACTTACGCTAATAATTCCTCAACCAAATGTCGTACCTCATTCAGTAGCCACAAGTAATCAGCATGCTGCAGCCCAACGATCTAAATATAGTCAATTATGGGGTCTTGCAAGACAAGCAACACAGCTTGCAGTGGAGTGTGATGATGATAAGATAGCCCAATGGCTAAGAATATTTATCAATCAAAAGAAGCAGTTTCTCGAAAACAAAAGATCATCTGATAAGGTTAATGAAAGTGAGGAAGAGGATAGTTCAACAATCGCCAACTCACCAGTCATCAAACATAGAGGGAGGCCTAAAACCAAGCAATATAAATCTGCTATAGAGAATGCACAACAACAACCATATACTTGTCGAACCTGTGGTAAAGTTGGCCATAACAGTGCAAGTTGTGAAAAAAAAAAATTTAATATGAACGCATATGTATAAAATGGTAAGGCAGTAAGGACTTAGAAGAGTTAATTGACTGCCATAATTTGCATTTATTTATGGTACTTATACTAATGATTTTAGTCTTTAATATTGTAATATCTACTTAGCTTTGCCGACAAAAATTATATTCAAGGTAAAAAGCTTATCAGAACTTTGGATTTTGTTGCTAGCAATTATACTCTTTGAATAAGATTTTATTTATTGTAATATGCGTGTTTATATATGTGAATCTGAAGTGCGCTTATACTCAATGCAAAATAAATATATTGCTACGTATAATATTTGATATACAGTATATGCTTTTTTGATCGTCTTTACTACTTTTTATTGAAAAAAATTTAATTATACTAACATATTTATTATATATACATGATATGATTAAAGTATTTGTCAACATTTTATGCTTCTATTTAAAAGTATGTAAAATAAAAAGAATTAAAGATTTAAAATAAGT